ATCACCCCACGCCTCCCCCCCTGCCGTTGCCCTTCAGCGCTGAGTATGGATTTCTGGAGCCAGGAGGAGGCTGAACGGTGTTACTGAGGCTGGCGTGTTGTGTAGCCAGCACGCGTTTCCAGAAAATACGCCCTTAGCGATGAGTAATTTTTTTTTTAGTAAACCATTTGTTCTCACTTGGTGACAAGCAGACATTTTCAAGCCTGTTTCCCGCGGGAGCAGGACTTAGGCAATCGTTCTTGTCTGCTGATTTGCCCTTTCTAGCGCCTTTTTCGACGCGTTTGGATGATCCCTGTCAAGTTTGAGACCTCACAGATACGAATTTTTTGGGTGTTTTGAAAACTGCTCCCTGTGGAAGGGCGAAACGCGGATGAGTGCCTGCGCTGGGAGGGGAGCAGCAGTGTGTACTCAGCCGTCATCGCTACCCCGAACACGGCCGGGCTGACGAGCCACGAGCTGCGACCCTGCCCGGCACGGCTCGGCTGCTTGTCTGACTGCTGGGCCCACAGGGGATGGACCGAGGGTGCTGTGATGGGGGGGAAGCCCAAACTGGGACCTGGGGAAGGGAAAGCAGCCGGTGCAGGGAAGTAAGATGAGTCCTTAACAAATGAGGCTTCACTTCCCCTCACTGCTTAGAGAGCAATCTGCTGTTTGCTTGCACAACTGGCGTTCGGTCCCCTCTCTTCCCCTCCCTGTGCACTGACAGATAAAAATGAGGTTGTTTTTAGATAATGGATGAAAAGACTCTACAGGGTTTTCCTTTGGGGTTTTTTGCGGTGCTCTTACATTGTTTCCTCAGTGAGGATGTTGCTGATTTATTTTGAGGCTCGTTCCAAATAATGCACTCCTTGAGCTCCCTGGATAATTTATGCTGTGCAGTTCCGAATATTCTGCAAATAAGCAAAAGCTTGTCCTCCTCTTCCCAAATTCAAATGAAAACAAATACTATAATCTTTTGATGCTTGTTGCTAGAACCGATTCTCAACCTCATTCCTTAAACCGAACATGGTTTTGAGCGGCTCCAGAGCGCTCAGCTGGCTCTGTTTCTCACCAGGATGCCGGTCAGAAGCATTTTGGTGCCATAGTTTGCAAATCGTGCGGCATGATCTACACGGCCGCTAGCCCGGAGGATGAAGCCCAGCACATCCAGCACCACGAGCGATTCCTCGAGGGACTCAGATACGTGGTAAGGCGATGGCTGCGCTCGCAGCTCCCCCGAAGATGACGGCTGGGGGGGGGGGAGAAGCGGTGCACGATACCCAGGTACAAAGTCGAGGTGGCCGCAGGCAAATGTTTTGTCATCCAGAGGAGAGGTTAAAGTGTAAGTTGGGCAGTTCCAGCAAATGTCTGCCCTCATCAGCTTGATGAATGTGCCTTGACTTTATTCCTGAAAGCTGAAGTGGTTCAGATTACAGCTGCATCTGCCAGAGTCTGCACTGAATCACTTCCCCCCTCCTCCTAGACCGCTAACTTGTTGTTTGTTTGGGGTTTTTTTTTCCCTCCTGTGGCAGGGTTGGAAGAAAGAACGGGTTGTGGCAGAGTTCTGGGATGGGAAAATCGTATTGATCCTTCCAAATGACCCGAAATATGCCGTCAAGAAGGTACATGTTTGTTTATTTTGGGGTTTATGATGTAGGTTAGCTTTCTGCTGGCTCAGCTCCCGGAACTACCTCAGTGTGTGATCCTACGTCGCTTGCCAGCGCGCGGGGCGAACACGAGAGCTGAGCGGGGCTGCGGCAGCCGTCGGGGTTGCTGTGCTCACCCACCCTGACACATCCTAACCCTGCTCCCACTGCTGGAGCTCTCGTTCTTAAATGACTGATGTAACCCAGCCCTTTCCGTCCCAAGGACTGGGGTGGAGAGGCAGGTGAGCTCTGCGAGAGGTGTAGAGGGATGAAGACGTGGGCGAGAGCCTGTTGTTTAACGTTGTCTACGTGGTTAGAGCCCGATCTTGTGTAAGCATGGGCTTATTGAATCATAGAATCACAGAATGGTTTGGGTGGGAAGGGAGGGTTCCAGCTCACCCAGCCCAACCCCAGTTCAAAGCCATCAGCCCTTGTCCTGGCGCTGCAGGCCCTGCTAACAAGTCCGTCCCCCCCTTTCTCCCCAGCCCCGTTAAGCCCTGCAAGGCCGCCCTCAGGTCTCCCTGCAGCCTCCTCTTCTCCAGGCTGAACACCCCCAGCCTGTCCTCATAGGAGAGGGGCTCCAGGCACTGCTCCCACCCATCAGGAGGAACGAGTCCCCTTTTGGACAGCTTTCACACCAAAGCATGTGTGTGTTTGGTTCCTAACGCACCTCTCTCCGGTTTTGTTTTCTTAGGCAGAAGATGTGCGAGAAATTGTAGATAACGAACTGGGCTTTAAGCAAGTTTCTTTGAGCTGCCCAGACAAGACTAAAATCTACTTGTTTGTGTCCAACGAGAAGATGGTGGTTGGGTGCTTGGTGGCTGAATCGATCAAGCAGGTACGTGTTAATTGTACAGGGAGGGAGTGAAATCGCAGGCTCACAACCGGGGCTATTTGCCTAAGCCTGTGCATTGGGAATCCTGGCTTAGAGTTGGGAATCCTGGCTTAGCGTTGGGAATCCTGGCTTAGCACAGGAGGGGGGAAGATAAAACTAAGGAAATAAAAAAAAAAAAAAAAAATTCAAACAAAAAACCCACTCCAAAAAAAACCAAGGGGGGAAAAAAAATTCAGGAAAAGCTTGTGCCTGGGTCGGGGCGAGATGTTGCTGGCGGGAGTTAATTGGGTTTGCACGGCTGATACTGGAGCGAGCTTCCATCCAAGCCTGGTTTGGGTGCTGCCCCACAAGAGGCAGCAGAAGGTGAGGCTGGGAGCACGGGAAGCTCTGGGGAAGGAATAGTTTGACTCCTCTGCTCGTCCCTGCAGGCTTTCCGGGTGCTGTCGGAACCAGGAGCCGCGCCGTCCCCCAGCCAGGACCCCCTGCAGCAGCACCGGGCTTGGCGCTGCTCCACCGAGCCAGAGGCCGCCGTCTGCGGCGTCAGCAGGATCTGGGTGTTCGGCCTGAGGCGGAGGAAAGGCATCGCCCGCCGCATGGTGGACGTGGTCAGGTAGGGAGCCGGGATCCCAGCTGGGGGAGAACAGTCATCGCAGCAAAAAGCGTTTAGAATCACAGAATGGTTTGGGTGGGAAGGGACCCCTAGAGCCCACCCAGCCCATCCCCCCCGCAGGAGCAGGGACACCTTGAACCACATCAGGTTGCTCACAGCCCCGGCCAACCTGGCCTGGAATGGTCCCAGGGATGGGGCCTCCACCCCCTCTCTGGGCAACCCCTGCCAGGGTTTCACCACCCTCACTGGAAAGAATTTCTGCCTTAGATCCAGTCTAAACCTCCCCTGCTTCAGTTTAAAGCCATCCCCCTCTTGTCCTGTCCCAGCTGGCCCTACTAAAAAGCTTGTCCCCCCCTTTCCTCTGGGCACCCTTGAAGCCCTGACCGGCCGCACTCAGCTCTGCCCGCAGCCTTCTCTTCTCCAGGCTGAACACCCCCAACTCTCCCAGCCTGGCCTCAGAGCAGAGGGGCTCCAGCCCTCGGAGCATTTTAGTAGCCCTCCTCTGGCCCCGCTCCAACAGGTCCAGTTTCTCTTACGGAAAGGGATAAATTCGTATCCTTAAGCAAGGCTGAAATCCCCGCTTTATAGCAGGATAGCAAGCGCACAGATATTCTACATATGCCTGATATTTAATATTTACATTTAAAATCCGACACAGGCGTGGGCCAAGCTGTTAGTGTTGGGTATATCTGAAACACAGAGCTACACGGACTGGATTTTCCAAGAGAAATGGTGCTGGTTGGGGGGAAAAATACTAAAATCTTTATTTTTTTTTTTAACTGGACAACTTGATGGGCCCAAACACTTGAGTTTTTCCAGGCAGGAAATTCTGAGCTTTTCAAGCTCGGACCAAACTGGGAGGAAGACGAGGAGACCAGGGGAGGGGGAGTTTTTATGGGCTGCCTTCAGGCTGAGCTTGGCTGTCCGTGTGCCTGCAGCAGCACTGATCTTTGTGTCGTACCTGCTCGCTGCATGTACATTAAATACACGCAGGGCATATGAGCACAGCTGTAATATTTTTATATAATCGCACGTCTGGAGCTCGGTAGCGATCGCTCCAGCATCCACGAGGGCAAACTGGCGCCTCGCAGCTCCCTCCTCCGCTGTGAAAGCCAAGCGACAGCAGAAATGGCAGCTGCCTGCCCCGGAGGGATGGGGGGAACGGCCCCGCGGTGCCTTGTAGGCGTGGGATGAAGCAGCCGTGCTCTCTCTTTCAGGAGCACCTTCATGTACGGCAGCTACCTGAGCACCGACGAAATCGCCTTCTCCGACCCCACGCCGGACGGCAAGCTGTTCGCAACCAAGTACTGCCAAACCCCCAACTTCCTGGTTTACAATTTTATTTATGCCAACTGATTCGACTCGAGTAGTGCGAGTTGAGGTTTGTTTAAACCCTCTGCGATAATCGGGGTGTTTAATTGAACACTTAAGCGTTGTTACCCGGCTAAACGCTGCTTTCCTGCTCATGCTGATTGCTGGCTCTTCCCTCGTGAGCGAGCTGGGGGCGAATGTCACTTTGTGTACAGAGCTGTGTTATATTTTAGTGTCACGCTGTGGAACCTTGCTTGGATTTCAGGTAGGTTTGTTTCTTCTGAGACTAAATTTTATTGAGAGTAACTTAATTTCTTCAAAGGTTTAATTAATATAAAGATGGGTGTTTGTTTTTCCCTGAGGAGCGGGTGTGTAACTGAGCTCTCTGCAGTGTAGAAGCCTTTGCATGAGCAGTTGCTGTATTTACGCCCGGGGGGCATGAGATGTCTTTAAAATGACCAGCAGGACTTCCCCCGCGTGCAAGGCCCAGACCCCTCGGGACCTTGGGCTGCCGGGGGGGTTGCCTGCTCAATAAAATGTGTGAAACGTTGCTGCTTGAGCTCATGGCTGTGCACAGGAGAAGGTGGCAGTGTGGGGGAACAGCACAAAGGTGTGCTGCAATCTCTTCCCCTCCACCCAGCAGAGGGCTGGAATTCCCCCAACCACCGTTTTTTTTCTTTAATAAATCCCCAAGGGACTTGGTTTTGGGGGGTTTTGTGTTGGGTTTTTTTTTTTTCCTTAACCCTATGCCCTCTGTTCCCATGGTATGACTTGGAGTAACAACCTGTTGTGTCAGGAAACCTTTACACCAGAAGGACAGGCTGTCATCCAAAGAGACCTGGACAGGCTGGAGAGGTGGGCCTGTGTGAACCTCATGAGGTTCAACAAGGCCAAGTGCAAGGTCATGCACCTGGGTCGGGGTACCCCCCAGTATCAGTACAGGCTGGGGGAAGAAAGGATCGAGAGCAGCCCTGCCGAGAGGGACTTGGGGGTACTGATGGATGA